GTTCACTGACGGGAGAAAGAAGGCGGCGCGAGAACAACTCCCCACCGCCCACACCCCCGACCAATACACACACCCCAACGGGCGGGTCTCTTTCAGGTCCTCTTACAGCAGGTAGCGCTCTCAGCTCAGACTAGAAATAAAAATCCCATGAGGCTTTGCTGAAAGGGCCCTTTCTCTCTCTCTCTCTTTCTCTCTTTTTCTCGGTTCCACTGTCCATCTCTCATATCGCGCGTGCAGCGGAGCGGTGATAAACAGGGCCGTCCCGCTGGCGACGCCGTGACTTTCGATTAAACCAATACGGGCGCGTGCGCTGATGAATACTGACCCTCAGCGCGCGCGAGTACATGTTTGAGTTTGTGTCTAAGAGACTGTGTGTCTCGAGCCGCGTCTGTGTGAGCTGACTTCAATATAGCGCGAGCGCTCTGAGGCCTGTATACGTGTGTGTGTGTGTGTGTGTGTGTGTGTGTAAGTGTGTGTGTAAGTGTGTATGTATGACCAGAGTCTCGGTGGCGACGCGTGCACCTTCCTCTTCTCGAGCGCGCGCGTGCAGCGGTCAGAGCGGGAGACGGAGGGAGGGGAGGGGAGGAGGGCAGAGCGACTCCCCCCCCCTATTATTCCACAAATCTGTCCAGTGTTCTGTCCAGACCGCGCTTGACGAAGCATCTCATTTCTGCCTCTGACGAGGAGCGGCCAGAGCGCTTAACTGGACAACCGGAAACAAAGGCGGACAATAACGGACTCACCGTCCTGTCAGCCAGAGCAGCGTCTGTTAAACTCATTTACACACGGAGCGCAATGACAACATCCTCCACACTGAGGATGAAGAGTAAACAGGTGCAGTGAACTCGCCCCATCCCATAAAACCGTCCATTAGAAAACGCACATTTACGGTTCTGAAATCTGATTGGCTGAGCCGCGTTCTGTGACTGACTGCCTACCAACACCTGAGAACTAAAAACATTGTGCTCTGACTGACTGTTATGCTGCTGACATGGACCAGACAGATGCAGTAAGAACACAGTTCAGTGCACACTGAGGGGATGACAATTTTCTGAACAACTAGGCTAAAAGATAGCTAACGGGCTAAAAGATAGCTAATGGGCTAAAAAAGAGAGCTAACAGGCCACACAATAGCTAACAGGATAAAAAAGATAGCTAACAGGCTAACACATAGCTAACAGGCTAAAAGACAGCTAACACTATTCAGTGCTAGACTTTAAACTGATGTATTCACTGAATAATTCACTGTAAAACTCCAGTGCAAAATGTAAATAATTTACATTAAATGTCTTATGTGCTTCAAAGATATTTGTTTTAGTTAGACCTGTCTTAAGTAGTATTAAACCCAGTTTGAGAAAAGACATGTACAATGCTATTAGCTAGCTTGATGCTAACATAAGGTGTGTCTCAATTCAGGGGCTGCATCCTTCTAAGGAAGTGGTCTACGAAGGCGTGTCCTTTGAAGGCTGCGTAGACTCGTGAAAGCTGAACTGAAATGAAACGATCAGCTCTATGGCAGATTTCCTGTTTGCGTCACAGCACCACTGTTCCTGCCCTTACCGCTGCGTCATGAAACGCCCCTCCTGTCAAGTTCTTTTAAAGTTCTTTAAAGATGGAGCCAGAAACTTTGATTTTAGGTAGCATAAGTTTTGCTTCCGACCACATTGGCTTTTTTTTACATTTATATCGTTAGCTATTCGACTCAGTTTAAACCCAATACTTACATTTAAAAGTGTATTCCTCAGCGCCGTTCAGTCCTCTGCTGACGCTGCCATGTTTTCGAATCCTCGCCGGCATGTAATGAACCTCTGGAACCTCTGGCTGGTGAAGGATCCACACTTTGCCATGGAAAAGGACACACATCTTGGCCACATATGAAGGAGCCTTCGAAATGTGACAGCCTAGTCACGCTGCTGTGACGCAATCAGTCTTCAAGTGCAGCCTCTGAAGGGACACAGCTATAATGTTGTTAATTGGCTGGTGATTTGCTAAGCAAAAACTACTTATAATGGGAAGGTTTCTGCATCACACACTGCTATATTATATCTTCAATATTACATGACAAAAATTCAAAAGTTCATGAATTGACTGCAGTGATGAGTGACTGAACGTTCATGTCCTTGTTCAGTCGATGATTCCTTGGCAAGAAGAGCACACACAAAATGAGCTACATTTCTTGGTGGAGGAGTTGTTTATGCAGATTATTATTAATTATAACTTACAGTTATAATAATAATAACTTAATTATCATGACCTAACACAATTATTGTCAATATAGCTTAGATAAATTATTGAAATGTGTGTATTTAATTTTTACCCGATTTTCTCCCCAATTTAGTCGTCTCCAATTCCACCCGCTAGTTAGGACTCCCCCAATCACACGATGCTATCAACGCTAGGAGGGTGAAGGCTAACACAGGCTTCCTCCGAGACCTGTGAAGCCAACCACCGCTTCTTTTCGAGCTGCCGCTCACGCAACGTCATTGGACAGCCGAACGCGCTCGGAGGAAAGCGCCAACCGCCAGATATGTTACGTCAGCTAACAGACGCCTGCGCTGACTAGCATCGCGCTGAGTGATGGGGGGAGAAGGAGGGGCCATCCTACCCACCCAGAGAGAGCGAGGCCAATTGTGCTCTCTCGGACTCCCGGCTACGGATGGCTGTAGCATCACCAGGGATCGAACTCGCGATCTCCTGATGATAGGGCCAACGCTTAGACGGTTGCGCCACTCGGGAGGAAATGTGTGTATTTTTTATATTTTATGTTGTTGCCCTTTTATAAAAGCAGTAAAGCCACTTGAGGCTGTGTGTTACAGTGATTTACCACATTTTAGCTGTCACCTCATTTTTGCCTGAAACGCACACCCAAAGTAAAAGGAGCACTGTTCCCACATAGTTTGGTTTAGAGTCATGATCTTGGTCTCATTCGAAAGGTAACACTCTCAAATTTTGTTCACAACTGTCAGAGTAATTGTATAAATTACTGATGCAGAGTAACAGTTGCGAGAATGAAGGAGTTTATTTCCGCCTCATAGATCTCTGAACTGATCTCTGACTCTTGCCACACATATTGGATAATGATGTTTCTGTGGATAGCAGCAAGGCTTTGAAAGGAAGGACCCACAGATTTGTTAGCTCATTCAGTGCCTATGTTGCAAATGAGATGATCATTATTGCTGTGAATAATGTATCATGAAATGGTTAACAGGAATCGAACCTTGAGATTTCAAGCTTCCTAAAAGTCGCGTCATTGTATTGCTGGACAATTGCATAAAAATGATGTAGAAGAAAACTGGAGGTGAATGCTTAGACAGAAGTGTGCTGGTACCGATCCTTTGATCTAGAAAAGGTTAAAGGTTTTGAAAGTTTGATTGCACTTTGTGTCCAGCCTGAAAACCACTTAGCTGTGACAAAATCATTGTAATCTATGACATCTTGTGGCTCTTTTATCCTTATACTGAGTGATCCTATATTCCCAGAAAATTAACCACATGACTGCTGACTGTACTGGAGAATGCCTTGTGTATGTAACTGATGGTGGAAGTGCTAGCTAACAGAACATTTTAAAACTGAAGCTAACTAGCCATTTTCACCAACAATTAAGGTTTCCATTGTAATGTACCTTGTGGTTTAGAGGCTTTGGTAGTTTTAGGCTGCAATTTTAGTAGCTGATGTAGGTACATAACACACACTTAAAAAAGATGGTTCTTCAAGGGTCCTTTAGTAAAGGCAAGGGTTCTATTTAGAACCATAAATTCTATATCAAACCATTTTATGCTTAAATGGTTCTCTGCATGGTGAAATGATTCTTCAGATGCAACCTTTTTGAAAATGGCTCCATATAGCACCAAAAAGGGTTCTTCTATTGTTACAAACTTGACATCATAACAATAGCAGAACTCTTTTTGGTGCTATGTAGAACCATTTCAAAAAGGTCCTATATAGAACCATATACAACACATTCTCCATGAATCTGAAAAACTATTTCACCATCCTAAAAACCATTTAAGCATGAAATGGTTCTATATAGAACTTATGGTTCCTATACCAAAGAACCCTTGAAAAACCTTCCTTTTTTAAGTGTGTAAGATTGTAAGTAGACTGACTTTTGTGTGATGTTATTTCAGTGCACAGCAGTGTCGGCTTGCTTGAAGTATGGGTGTAACATTGTGATTGTTTTGACTGCTAAATGACCTTGTAATTCAGAGGTTATAAGGTGTGTTTCAGCCTGGACTGCTTTTAGAACAATACACAATAAAGCACAGCCAATCAAAACAGAGCTTATATACACATGTTTTGCATTTATACATATGCAAAAGTTTGGGTACTCCTCGTGAAATTATGTTTTGTCGATATCCCAAGTGAAAAGTACTTAAAACATCCTCTACAGAGGACATACTTCTGCACATTTTAATGTACAACTACTTATTAGTTGCTAGCTTTAACACATCAGTCATAAAATTAGGCCTGTGCAAAAGTTATGGCACATCTTATATTGTATGCTTTATTTTCTCCAGTGTGTTAAAGTCAAATAAATAGAACTGTGCCCAGAAAAATGCCACATTTAGGTTTGTTCTCTGTAGATGTGTTAACTTATTTTCACTTAGATAATCTACAAAACATGTCATTTGACCAAAGGTGTCAAAACTTTTGAATATGGCTTAAAGACAGGAACAAAAACAAGAGAGGTTGGAAATATACATATTAACATATGACTGTTTTTGGTACAAACATAAGCAAAGCTCCAGGAAAAAATAAAACGCAAAATAAAAATGTATATTGATATTTAGCTACAAAATTCCCTTTTAACTTAACTGTTTGACACATAGGTCTACACATATGTTGCAAAAAGATACTGGTCTATTCAGCACGTAATTCTGAAGATCAGGTTGTGTAAATAGTCTGACAAGAAATGGCCTTAACAGATACCTTCATTACACTGTGCTGACAATCTACTGATGAACAGTGTCCTTGTTGTAGCATGTTAGCTATATTATGACTGTTGAATACAAGAAAGCAATGCCTTCATCAGAGCAATTATCATTATCCAGGAAAGATAGCCTATTAAACACCTGTTTGAGATCTTTTTATAATTACAGAACCATTTATCCCTACAATAGAAAAGGATTGCCTCCAGACCAAACTAGCTGCCCTGCTTTAGATTCACTTCTGTGTTAGCTCTTAAAATAGAATTTACACGGCAAGTGCAGGCAGCAAGTCATATTGTCAGTAGTTCTGCCCATTTACACAGTGATTACGACGCAGATTCTGTGTCAATTGATGTTGCCGAATGGAGTCTGAACACAATCACATTCTTGAATGCACAAGCTTCAAAAAAAAAAAAAAACCCTCACATGACAGGGACCACGTCTTACAATGTAAACTTTCACGTCATTGTGTTAAGGAGGAATTCCACTGATTTTTCAATATTTCAGCATGATTCAATCATTGAGATGTAAACACAGCCATTTGGAGTGGTTTGATGTGAAATTTTGCATTGTGGGGAAACATATTGACTTAAATTCCTTTGCAGTGGTGCTGATAGATACCAGGGGTCATGATGTTTACAGTGCAAATATAGCATTATTATTATTTACTATCCAATATCATTAGTGAACCTATACCTGTTCTCTAGACTGGAGCATTTCAAACTAAGCCTCTCTGAATCTTAAAGAAGCTGTAAACTCCATAGTGAATGGGGAAGGTTCCTCAGATCAAAACATTTTGGGTTCAGTAAGATGTGTGACATGCATTAAAGTGGAATTCCACCAATTTTGTTTCTACATTTCTGCATAATTCAGCAGTTAAGATGTAAACAAAGCCAGTCTTAGTGGTTTAATGTGAAGCTCTGTGTTCAGAAACTTACTGACTCAGATATCTTTACAGTGGTGGTGATAGGACCCAGGGCCCGCAATGTCTGCAACACAAATATTGCCATTTTAATTACTATCCAAAATCTCCAGTGAAGCTACACGTGTCTTCTGAGTTTTATATGTAATGTTGATACTCGTAAAATAGTAGCAAATCTGAAACAAAACAAACTTTCTTTGAGAACTATTTTGCTTTGCATGAACTTCTCAGCTTTGAATATATGAAAAAGCTTATCGCAAAATTATCGTAAAACAATGTCTCAGGTATCAGGCAGCGCATTTGTAATCATTTCATGTCATATTTTTCTGTAAGGAAGCTTTTAAAGGCATTAAACTCTTCAGATGTCTGGTTCCTGTCACCACCACTGTGAACAATTCTTACTTGGAAAAGATCTCCATAAGACATCATTTCAAATCAAACTAGTCTGACTGAGCTTAACAATTTAATGATGAAAAAAGGTGAAGAAATGGTGGAATTCACCTTTAACAGGGAAAGCTCCACAGTTTAAAAAAGAGAAATTAGAGTTTGGGAACTATTTTGAGCTCAATAAAATATGTGACACACGTTAAAAAGGAATTCCACCAATTCTATAAAATTTCAGCATTATTCAGACATTAATTTGTAGTCATTCAGAGTGGTTTGATGTGAAATGTGCATTGTAGAGAAACATACTGTATCAGATTTCTTTACAGTAGTGGTGATAGAAACCAGGGGTCATGATATCCACAACACTAATATAGCTATTTTATTAATTCTTTCAATACAACTAGGGAACCCACTTGTGTCTTCTGGGTTTTTTATTTGTGATGTTGATGATGGTAAATAGTGATAAATCTGAAAACAAAAGTTATCTTTGGCCTTATAATGCCCTAAATGTACCATGAATGGATTTTAGGCCAAAACCTTTTCTCAACACTATCATAAAACAAAGCCAGAGGCATCAGGCAGTGTATCCGTAACCATTTCATGTAATAACTTTCTGTGAGGGAACTTTTAGAGGCATTAAACTCTTCAGACGCCTGGTTCCTATCACCACCACTGTGCACAAATCTGAGTGGGTGAGTTTCTATAGTACGGTGCATTTCACACCAAACCACTCTGAATGACTTTGTTTACATCTGAACCTTTTAATAATGCAGAGGTTTTGAAAAATCAGTGGGGTTCATCTTTAACTAAAAACAAAGTGACCTCACAATCTTGCACCTCTCTCAAGCGAAGGATATATGCTGTGTTACTGCTCTGAGATTCGATCGCTGCGTCACCTCGCGCACACAAACACACACACACACACGCGCGCGCGCGCCCCGAGTGACGCAAAACAGATCGATGGAATCTCTGAGGCAGTGCTTCAGTGTGTCAAAGCACACTAGTGTGTATACATACACTATTCAACCAGCTGCCCAAGTGTGCTGATGAGTGTTGGTTCTGTGTGTGTTCTCTCTCCTGCCCGTATAGGTAGCAGTTCACTGAGCATCGTATCTTCAGGTCTCGTGAGGTTTCATTCAACCTTGACTGACGGACGGATGAGAGAGTGCACGCGCGCGAATATGGCATTCCCGTCATTCCCGCTGTCCACGCTCATTGCCCTGATGCTCCTTGTGGCGTCCGTTCAAAGCAACTTTCTGTACGGTAAGACAGTCAAACCGCTCCTTTCTCGCTGTTCCTCCCTCCCCTCCTGTTTTCCTCTTTTCACTTATTACAAGAGAGTCACAGAGGCGTTAATAAGCCCCTGGGGCACCAGGGGAAGACCTCCTTCTTTTAGCTACAATGGAATTTTTCGCTCTGTTGTGTTTGAGGGCTGTGCGTCACACGCTCACACATACTGCTCCTTTTTGCTTACTGTTCTGAAATCATGCACACTTTCAGACTTTGGTGGTCGCTCTCAATCTATCGCTCTTTCTCTCTCAGTGCTGTGCGAAGGTCTGAGACCACCTTTGCCAACCATTTGTTTGATTTCCAGTCAAAATGGTCCATTATTAATTTTTCAGGAGGAAATTCTGGGGAGTTTAGCTGCAAAATAATCCGCTTGAATGAGGAAGGGCAAAGTCAAGGTAGAAGAAGTGAAAAAAAACAGCACTTTCCAAAATGGAGTACAACAATTTTTTAAATGATCTAGAGAAAATGGGACTCCTAACCAACAAACCAGCAAGACCTAGCAGACCACCACAACTCTCCCCATCAGAAAAACAGACAAAATCAAGCTCCACTCCTGCCTCAGGTCTGAAAAAGTCCACAAGTGTTTCTGTCCATTCTTCCAATGTGATAAGACAATTCAACGCTCTGAAAGGATGTGTAGCCATCCAGAGGCTGTTACAGATAAAAAGGAAGAAACAAACAAGGTGAGGCAGGGTGCATGTGAGAGAGCTTTATTGACAAGAACTAAACAACTTAAAGGTGGAGTAGGGGATTTACTTTAGAAACATTTTTTGTTATATTTTTTGAAATACTACCATACAAAGAAAAAAATTCTTGGAGGCCACAGGACTGTAAAAAACCCTGCCCAGTCATTTTATTCAGACCAAATGGAAAGATTAGATGGTCTGCCTGCCCCTCTACTTACCTGCCCACATGGGCACGCTCTACATAGGTACTCATTTGCACATGTGTGGAGTTCATCATACAGCTCCACACACACACACATACAAACACAGACACACACAGCTGAAAGGTAACGAGCTAGGTTCACAAAAATGGCAGAGAAAGTTACACAGGTACCTACAACAGCTTGCACTGCTAAAGAAAGAAAGAAAGAAAAAAAAGACAGAAGTAGAAATGGCTTCAAACAAACCAGAGTGAACATTGGTGTAGCTTTCCAACAGGGGGTAAACCTGAGGAGGTCTGGAAAGGTTGCAAATTTTCTGTTGGACAGGTAGTTATCTGTTTTTTTGTTTGGGGGGGATTTGTTACCTTCCTAAATTGTGTAGCCAATGTAGCCAACTACTTATATAGAGAACCATTGGGTGTTAGTCCATGCGCGTTCATGTGCGTAGCTTTAGAAGGAGGGCTGAAAGTAGAGGGTGGAATTTTTGGTTGGATTTTTTTGTTCCTGGTTTCTACAAAATTACCTACTACAGCTTTAACCAAATAGAGATTAGCTACAAACACAGGTGTATGTATATAGGAGATAATGTGTCCAGAGATGAGCTGCGGGTGCAATAATGAGTGGGCGGAGCCAGTGTTGAGCTGGAGCTGAAAAAGAAAAACAAGCAAAAGAACATGGCTAGGCCATGTGCATGACCATGCAGGCCCGGAAGGTAGGAGTTAACACTGCTGATATTCTCAAAACGATAGATGGTCCAGATTTTATCATCAATAAATGTATTTGGGATAACTCGAAACGTGAAAAACAGAAAATGCAACCAACTTCTTAGACTGAACTTTAGAGACATGGGTAAATATCCCTGCAGATTTTTTTGAAAAACTGAAAGCAAATCCCCAAAAGGAATGGAGGCTGTAGTATAGTCAACAGGGCGGACACTAAATACTGCCACATTTGATATCATACTTAGTTCTGTATGCTTTGGTGTAACTTTCTCTTGAATATGTTTTCTCCTTTTTTTCCCTGAATTTGAAAAATGAAAACCATGTTTTTTAATGCGCATTTTGACTGAAAATTAAGTAATGAAGGGCTGTCTCTGACTTTTACACTGTACTGTATACATACACTTTGTGGCCAGTGGTCTCATAAAACCAGACCTCTGTCCTGACCTGTGTTTATGCATTAGTGTTGATGCCCTATCTGGACTGGCAAGTAGAGCCTAATGTACCATCACGTTCTTACTTCAGTCTGCAGATCAGACCCGATCCATTTTCCTCTATTCTCCCTTGGTACTTAATGAACACTTTATGATTTACTCATGCAAGCTGTAAGATATTACCAGCATCCATATGATCTCCTGGGGCTAAGCCAGCAGTGGAAGCAATCTTCAAATAAGCTGAGTCATTATGCTGCAAGTGGAATTCTGGGAAAAAAAAAGTTTCAAAAGTGCAAGAAATGTTCTACTACTATGGCTGCGCAGACCCCAGCGACTAAACGATACTCTGTATTTAACTTGCAGTCATATACTCTAGATGTCCAGAGGAAAAGGATGCTGTTGAGATGATCACAGCAAGATCTCACAACTGCAAAGATGTATCAGTGTGCACAGAAACAATCTCTATCAGACATGCTAAGCTCTGCTGATGTCTCATTTCTCATTTACAGGTGTTTTTGGTGTAGCTATTCCCCTTTCTTTGCTGTTGTTCTTGGGCTACTTCAGTAATGAGACAACTAAGTTAGGCCTGATTACAGATCATAGCTCAGCTTGGCAAATCATGCAAAATCTTGTATATAGCTCAGAATGAAGCTGGTGTTGCACTGTTCTGATGGTTTCAGGCACACGATTTCCCAGGATCCTGGCTGGTGTTTACTCACTATGCTCCCTGCTGACACTAGATGACCCAGGTAGCCCTTTTCTGGTCCAGCTTACATTTTGCTGGATTCAGTTTTACTCCATGGCACCTCAAGGCCTTGAAAACTACTGGCAGCCTTTGTATATATATATTTCTGAAATTATCGTACATAATACAACATTTGTCTAGTCATAGGAAGTGGCATTAACTATACAAGGTGTCCAGCTACTGGCAGGTGCATTGAATATTCCAAAAGGGATGTGAACATACTTATATTAATGCTATTAATGCTAAGTTTCTAAAGGCTGTCAGGTTCTTTCCTCCTCTGCCATAAGCCTCTGATGATATGCCTTACCCAGATCCAGGATAGAGAACCACTGGTAGCCTTCCAGAGTGTTCACTCATTGAAGTTGGAGCAGGGAACGGCAAATGGGCGCAGTCTTCAGATGGAGCTGATGATAATCGATACATAGAGGGTGTCATTCCTCTTCTGAATACAAACTACTGGTGCAGAATATAGCAACTTTGATTTCACAGTCCACTTGTTCGCCAATAAGTCTTTAATATACTCTTTGATTTCCTTGAGGAGTGGTTTAGGGATGGATGTGTAAGCCCTCTAAGGATATGTTGTGCTTCAAGTTCAAGTTCAAAGTCTTCACAGCCTGCCTCACAGTATATGCTCAAGTGTCTGAGATCACCAAAGGGGTATTAAAGTTGCATGAGATTTAAGCTGGTCAGCAAAGACTTCTACTATATCCGCACTACTGTTTTGACAGTGGTCAGAGTTTACGGTGTACATAATTTCTCTGCAATTTGCCGTGGTATTTTGACTTGATGGTCATATGGCCAGCATATTCCCCAGCTAGCTAGAGATCGCGTATTGATGTTCTGTAAGCCCACTTTTATATGAGCCATCTCCACCAGTCTACCACAAATATAACTAATACTTTGTTTGTCCTGGCTGCCTTCAGCCCCGTAGAGCATATTGTTTAGGGTTGCTAAGTTATTGGTGTTTCCACTTGCAGCAATAAGGAGTTATGTGACTATATAAAACTCCAATACAGATTTTTTAAGGTTCAGACACCTCAACAGAAAATGGACTGAGGATCAATTCTTAGAATTTTCTAGGAACCTTACTGTTGCTTCCACCTACCCAGCAAAAGAGATAGTGCCTTGATGATGAGGAGCTCTAGGGTCTCTGTGGTCTTCATGAACTATTTTGGCCCATATTTATCTAGCTTAGAATGTTCCCATGATCCCATGTGTTCAACAATGCACTTTGACTGCTTTTTGACCCTTTCTGGTTGATGATGTCATATGCGACATCTTGGGAACACTGTATGCTAGGGACTTACTTTCATTTTTTCCCAGAAGGCTAGTGTTTTACCATTTCAGTGAGAGCTCTGGTCTGAGTGTATCCCTTTCGGAAGCTTTGTAATCCAGCCTTGAACTGCACTGTCTTTTTGGAGAGTTTGTAAAATAAATCCAACACTGAATGTCCTTTGTGATCATGTATGCATTTGTCTGTGTTGAAAAAAGTGTTATTGTTGTTGTTTGCATGGCTGTCAGCTGTTCACTGACACCTTGGGTCAAGTCTGTTAAACAATCAGAGGCTGTGATCCTGACTTGCTGCCGGAGCAATGCTACTCTTACGGGCAAAATGAAAGTATATCTCTAGCATGAAGTATTCATGAATATTTATTCTTTTATCTACAAAGTCCTTTGATGTAGCAGACATCGCTGACATGTGTAACCTAGTTGAACATGCTAGTAAACAAAGAAACCTCTTGATTTGATTTTTACATTAGGTCAAGGTTCTTTAAACTCTACTCTTGTAATTCTTATTAACAAAAAAAATAAATAAATAAAAATAAAAATTAATGAGCCATTCATTGAAAGAGTCTTTAGAGAACCAGATGTGGTTCTTCTAAGGCATTGCCTCAAATAACTCTTTCTCGCACCTTTATTTGTAAGAGTATATCAGGGTAACACTGACCTCATGCAGCTGTTTGGTAGTTGTCTTTGCCTAGTTTCAAGGGGTCATATCTCGGTTGGTTTGGTCTCATTAGCTTGGAGCTTTCGCCTGTTCGAACAACCCACTGCTCAATAGCATTCTTCACTACAGGAGACACAGAGTGGCTAATGCATTTGTCTCTTTTACCTGTTAGGGGGTCTGGATGTGCACTGGCATTCATGCTCTGAATCTGTTTGGCACCTGGCTGTGATTTAACTGTACT